GTTATGAATTGATGCTATACAAATTGAATTGAATGTGTATTGAAGTAGATTTATTGATTTGTTTTTGCCCGTGGTATTGACACAACCCTCACTTCCTAACATTTACTCATTTCAGCCATACTTTTGTGACTCCAGCAGGATTTAAAACCAGTGTTGCTGCACAAACATGGCGGTTCAAAATGTCGGCCGCCTCGAAAGGAGACCCCCCCACTGTAAGATAAAGACAACACAGAGGCTGATACTTCCAGGTGACTGTACACTAATGAACACACGCTGCTTTATGGCACACAGTGGACCTTTAATGTGACATTACCTGTACAGCAGGAAACAGGCAACATCGGAGTCATTCTGGAAACATTTTTCCCTCATGAGCGACTTCCATCTGGGAAAGGCCACACCAATGTTGACCCTTGTTTTTTGCCGTCGCCTGTCCCGGTTTCGTTTGACTTCGTCCTGCTTTCGCTTTTTGGGCGACGAGCACTCACGCTCGCTGACTTTTTGTTGCGCTAAACAATACGTATGGTCCCCCATTTGTCAAACTTTGGGTTGGGGGGGTCAAAGTTGTCGCAGCAGTGAGCAGTTAGCCTGCAGCTTCAGCTTCATCGCTGCAAACTCCCTCTTCTTCAGTCGCCTTCTTCTACGGATTGTATGGCGGTTGGGAAACAGCGTTGTGGCGCGTTACCGCCACCAAGCGGTCAGGAGTGGTGGTGCTACATTACCTCATTCTGATCATTAAAAGAAAATATATTATTTTATTATTTTATGTTCCAGGTAGATCACTGACCGCTTTTCTTTTAAATGTTCCTCATGTAATGTTGTTAAAGGACATTAAAAACCAAATTTTGCTTTGGTGTAATGTTATACCTTTAGTTTTTAGCTTTTAATCATTGGTTCGTACATTATTTGTCTCCCTGGTGTTATTTTATGTTTATATTGATTAATTTATAGCCTTGTAAAATGTATTGTTCTAGTTATTATATTATATTATATAGTTTTTATGTGCACTCTTTTTGTAAAAGTGCTATATAAATAAAGTTGAGTTTAATTATATAGCTTTATTCTTGAATTAATTCTTCTAAGCTATTGAAACACAACTTGTATTCTGTTTTTTAAAAGTTCACATAAATCATAGCTCAACTTTCTTTCTTTAAGATACAGTATCAGTTTCCTTCTCTCAGTCTCCACATCCTATTTCTGTCAGTAAAACATAACACCTTCAGGTAGGACTGTGTTTTCCTTTTTTAATTGTTAATAAGGATTATTAACTTAAATAATAATCAATAGGAACCAGTGGGCTTGGTCTGAGTGCTGCAGACAGGAGAGGAATGATGACTTTGGTCTTTTCATTTTTGTTGAGATTAAATAAAATCTATAAATACACCAGCCTTAAATTCAGACTATTCCAGTCATATATATGATTTAAGCTATTAAACATTAATAAATTCACAGGTAGCTTCCCTCTCTGATGAGGAGGAAGAGGCCATGATCAAAGCTGACTGTATATGCTGAGAGAGGCTCTCTCTCTGGAGCACTGACCTGTTATCACCACTAGGGGTCAGCAGTTAGTCTCCAAACAACAAAGCAGGTTTACAAAGCTGGATTTTATCTTAACGATAGTTAGAGAGGTGATTTAAAAGATGTCATTGATGAAATAAGTGACAACTTTGAATAATAATCATCACATCTCAAAATGGTTTATAGTAACTTCTACTTTACTTTTCATTTGCCAGTTAGATACAGTGCTCTCCATAATGAATAAGATAAATATATATAATAATATTTTATTATTATTCTATATATAATAAATAATGAAAAATAATGGATTCTTGTGACTTATGTGTGCTAGGAGGACCTGATTATCTGTCTTACACAGTACTGTCAGGATATAGTGAAAGTTTCAGCAGATACGACAAAAGGTTATTTTGATAAAAGTTCATTACTGTGGCTTTAAATGAGATCACAAGGAGGTTTACATAGAATCCACACCTTCAGTGCCATTCACTGGAATGTTTGTTTTGAACCAGCTTTTATGCGAACATACGCAAACTAGAATCCACATCATACAAACATACGCAAACTAGAATCCACATCATACAAACATATGCAAACTAGAATCCACATCATACAAACATACGCATCTATTCCCAAAAGCATCTGCTCATATGTCTGAAAGGCCTCGTCCTGCAGGCCCGTGTCAGCTCTCTACCAACTGCAGTGTGTAATTGTAACATCCTGCTGCCAGACATTTTGGCAACGCTGCAAAGTCTGATTCATGGCTTCTCCCTAATGCAGCCCCCACCCCGACCACACCACGCACATCTGGCTCCATGTGTCTCCCTCCACGCCTCGCAGAGTTCTCAGACGTGAAGATGGAAAAGGAGGCGAAGAGGTCAGGTCACGCAGTCAATCTGTGCTCCAGAGCGTTACTACTGAGATAGTGTGAAAGGTAGGAGGAGAGGAAGACAGATATCTTGCATACCAGATCTACCCTCCCTAAAGTACGCTCTTCTTCCTCCTGAGGACTGTTGTCATAAGGTCAGTTTGCTTTTTGATTTGGGGAAAACCAAAGTTGTTTAAAACATAATTACTTTACTGGCTGACTGCCTTGTGACCAAAACTAACGATTAACCTTCGACTTCAGTGTGTGCGTCTGCCAGAATTATAGAGGCGTTAGCACACAGCTGTCATCTGAATACATATTCCCACCCTGGTTTAACCGAAACACAAACATACATTTGTAAAGTCATCACCCTTTGCAGAGTCTGTGTTTCCTATTGCCAGTTTCCAGGAAGAAATGATGCAATGGCACTAACAGCAGGGAAAATGCAAACATTTGAGTTTGGAATTGGCTGGAAAGTTCACTATATCCAGACAGTAATACATGAGACAGACAATCTGAATTTATCAGGTTCCTCTGGCTCCTTCTAATGCTCCTAATGAAAGAACGAAAACAACCAATCAGAGCCGAGAAAGACAGAAAGGCACTTTGGGTTGATGGCTTGAAGTCTCGTTCACAGCGTCAGTATTCGACAACCCGGGAATGTCTTTCTCAGCTCTGATTGGTCCTTTTGGTTCAGGCCTGGTGGATTTTTGATGATTAAGTTTCCCTATATTTAGTATCAAATCATGTGTCCTTTTCAGGAACCTTTCTAAAGAATCTAGTTACTTCCTGGTAAATAATACCAAACAATGGGACCTGTAGGTTTCAGTGGCAAACCAAGAAGAAAAAAATAAAAATAAAACAACGACAAAACACACAGAGATAAAATCACAGCTTCCTTTTATACAGATTTTTTTTAAATCAGTCACAAATTGCACTATAAAAGGTCTCCCCTTCCTCTGTTACACTTCAAATATGATGCAGCGTTTCAGATGACTGGATGACTTCGTTTGAATATGTATTGATTTGATGATATACAAAAAGAGAATTTTAAATACACATATTCCCTGATTTGCAGTGCGTCTTTGGTTTCTTTCCTGTTCCCTCCGTTTCAGACCTACAGTGTTATCGGTACAATAAAAATCCATATTATCCGCTAAAGTCAGTAAATCCACGTAATTGAGGATTTGAGGCCTCAGTCCAGTTTAGGATGAGTGGCAACAAGAAATCTTAAATTAACTTTGACCCTTTATTGTCGGAGCTCAGAGAGGAGTCCAGGTGTCGCGGCTGAATGAGCAGATCCCGAAAGACAAGTCCTCCGCAAACAAAAAGGCCACGGACATCCTTGTTAGCGTTGTTGTGGAAATGACACACCTCAGAGATTTCCATCTCGGTCACAATGCTTCATCCCAACTACTGATTCACATTAAAGGCACTCAGAGTCCAGTAGAGCTCACACAGTATTCGTATCATCACAGTGTGGCACCTTGTAACAAAAAAAGGACACTTGCTTAAAAAAAAAAAAAAACGTAAGAACAAAGAAATAATAAGTTAAGTCCCTTAAATTCAAATATTTGTCACACTGAGTGAGTGGGGTTTTTGTTTCCTTCCACAGTAAAATACACAGACAGACTCGTAGAGAGAACATAATCTGAGTAAATGTCAGAATAGACCTCGGCCACTGCCAGCAGTGCTCGGATCGTCTATTTAGGGCGAGGAGACAGGATATTTTGAGCAAGTGGCCAACTCAATTGCAGTCTTGTCAACACACTAACAAGAAACTGCACTTCAACGCAGCCAGGGACTGATTGTATGATACGCTCTGAAGTCAGCCCAGTAAGCGTGGTCTGCAGGTCAAAACAACTAAACTGGGAGAAAACGGGTGAACGGTAACTTTTGTTTCTGTTTTTCAGCAACAGTTTGTAACAGTTATCTGTGACAACACTTTGATATGTCGTAAGCAGCCACTCTAATCAAACTTTATATGGATCAAAATTCAAGTTTGTTTTCGTCTCTCTGTAGTCGAAACGCACCAGATTTGTTCAATAAAAATCAATAAAAATCTTACAGTTATGACAGGTGATCTACCTGAACGGACTCTCACTTCAGAGAACAGGTTAACTGGCTGACACGTTTTCCTTTAACTCGTCTGTCTTTGTATCTGTTGTTTGAACCCTAAATGTGAAGGACAAAAAGCGAGAAAAACAAGAACAAAGATATGGAACTAGCTCAAATGATGGACATGTCAACAAACTGACTTCCCTCAGCTGAATTAAGGCACTGCGTTGCTTTTAGTTACAGTGATGCTGCATTCACACAGTATCAGCCAGTGGGAGGAACTGGAACACCCCTTGGCAGCGTTCATGCAATATGATTCTCAATCCTAGTAACAAACTTATTTGAACCCAAACAAACCTAACCCAGTAGTTTTGATGTCTAATGCTAACCAAACTGTAACCATTTCACAACATTAACCACGTTTATTATTGTTAGATTGATAACTACGGTCACTTGACTTTCCTGCATGTCCAAAAATATTAAACTATTAGGGCAAAAACCTTGAGGGAGATTGTGTACTTTCAGTTTTTGGAGCAGTGGGCTTTTTTCAGAATAATAAAAAAAAAACAAATCAGCTTTCAGTCCAATGGGACATTTTCTGGACTTTGGGAAAAATGGGCAGTCCCCACTTTTTAATGGTTTGTTAACCTGAATTAGTTGGTTTTTTTGCTCATAAATATTGTTTGCTTTAAGTTCAATGCAAACATTAACATGCTAACATGCTTGTGTTTAGCAGGTGAAATATTTACTGTATTCACCAGCTTAGCTTAGTGTGTTAGCATGCTAGCGTCTGCTTATTAGCAAAACAGCAGAGGCTGATGGGAATGTTGTTAATTTGGTTTGTTATATAAAATATATAAAAATATTATAAAATAAAAGACAAATTAAAATTCTGACCTGATGAAGGAGCTAGACAAAAATCCACCCAATAATTCTCAAAATGTCGTCAAAGTGGACAACTGACGGACCAACATTAACCAAAATCTCTTCAACCAAGTTTAGCCTGGACCTACTTCGACCCGCAAATCACTGAAACATGCATTCTTAAAAAAACAAAAAAATACATTTGATAAATAAAACTAAATCTCCATCCTGAACAATCACAGCAATCGTCATTTAAAAGATAATTCTTCTTTTCTTCATGTAAAAAAAACCTTTTTTGTTTTGCTCAGTTCAGGGACTCATGAGTCATTTTGAGACAAGGCAGGCAGGGTCATCCATTGTCCCCGTTCCCCCGTTCCCATGCTGGTCCCGTCCACCTGAATTCACTTGTGCATGTAGAGTTGAATGAGGCCCGCCTGGTGCAGCTGCTGCCACAGGCTCATTTCCATACGCAGGTCGTGGTTGGCGAAGAAGCCCACTGGGTGATACTTGCTGTCGTAATAGTGGTCAGAGTAGTTCTTATAGTCCGGGGTCATGTAGCCGTACGCACTCACCTTCATCAACAGAGGAGACACAAAAGCCAGAGTCAGAATATAGAACAATCATCTAAACGTTTTCAGCTTTAATAAGCTCTTTTCCTTTCATGTTTTGACTTGAACCACTTAGCCTCAATCTTTACCAACTTATTTCCATTCCCACCAAAGACAGCTTGAAAAACAGGTTTTTATTGCAAAGACAGGCTGTGGATTTGAATGAATCTGTGGCTAATCTGATACAAGAATCACACAATCGACACTGCAAAGGCTGATTTCATAAATTCCTGAGAGCATTGCTCCAGCGCAGTGTGAGTCACTATCAGCACCAAATCAAGGCCACAGGATGTAAGACATACAGTGCGTGCATTTACAAGGCCGACTGCTGAAAGAGCCAAAACAGCTACAACATTATCATGCTATCAGGCAAGTGCAGCCTTAAAGAGCTGACAGTAATATTCAGTAACATGATTAATTCTACCTTGTCGCAGGTGTGCAGCGCAGCCAACAGCATCACAGCTCCTGTAGACGGACGGTAAATGTCCTTATATCTGCTTTTCAGAGCATTAGAACGAAGGAATCTGAAACAAGAAGATAAAACAACATAAATACATCTGAAGTGTCAGTGGGGACACAGAAGTGAACACTGTGTGGGAACTTCCCACAGCAGCACACTCTGGTTTCAGCCTCCGCTTCTCCTTTAATCTCATTTCCAACTATTTGAAATGTGAGCCGTACTTTCATTCTGTTCACCTGCTGTGCAGATAATTCGCTCACCTGTTTCTGAGGTAACGGACGAAGTCGGGGTGGTACATCTTCAGCTTTCCTGCTGACACGTCCTCTCCAAAGTACTTGGTTGGACTGGGGAGAAAACGTGACATTAGTTCAAAAGTCACACAATCAGCCATCAGTACCAAGAAGAGTAAAAGACAATAACATTTACAACAATTCTCTAGATAGCCGTGACCAGTGAGTGCAACACAAGTTCACAGTGGTTTACAGTGACAGGTGAACTTTTCTGTGGGTGAAGCAGCACCTCTAACCACTAATCTGCCATCTCACACAGGAAACCTGCTCTGTTAAAGCCCAGTGAGAAAAACATGTCTCTACTGGCTGCACTACCGGCCAAGAGTCACGTATCGCTCTGTAAACAGTGCGAGTTGGAGCAGGAGTTCCAAAACTGTTCATCTAAAAAAAAAAAAAAAAATGTGTACACATTTTATGTGTGTAACAATGTGTGTACAAAGACTTGGCAGGGTTAAGTGTCAGAGCTAATGGTTGTGTGTTCAGTTACGTTGAATGACATCCACGTTTGTTTGGCTTTCAGGCAGTTCTGTACTGAGTCAAGTAATTACGAGTTGGTTGTTGACGGGAATGCTACTTACGAGTTAGAAACTGGCAATTACAATAACTCCTATGTGACATGAACGCAGCATTAATGTTGTAGCTGGTCATAGTGGACCTAATTTTAACTATACCGTTGAACACCGCTTCATATCATATAAACTGATCATGTGTTCTCAATGCTAAATCTTAATTTACAAAGTAACTAGTAACTGCTGTCAGATACATGTAATGGAGTAAATAAAACTGGATTACATGGCGATACTTAAATAGTACAAATACCAGCAATGACGCTAGCATGGCAAAAGTGCAAAGTGCAGTGTATTTGTATGGAGGTTCAGTTCAGTCCAACTGCATCATCATTACGACCGTCTGAGTGTTGCTTACTCTTTGCCCCGCTCAGGCCCTCTCTGTACTGGAGTGTGTGTCGCTGCAGCCTTCATCAGCAGGTAATCACGGTCGTGATCTGGCAGAAAGACGTATCGTGTTTCCTGTAGGAGAGCAGCAGAGCTCAGGCCTGGTGTCACGATTTTAGCATTTCATAGGTAGAAATACTTTTTACATTTTGTCCTCACCTTAGACATAGGGGGCCCTTTGTACCCGGCGCCGGCATAGCTCCTCATGGAGTTCATCAGTGTGTTGGTGGAGAACGTGTAGTGGGTGGTCCGAGAGCCCACGTCCTGCTCAAAGCCCTTAATGATTGCCCCATTGGTCCTGAAGATGTCCACAAGCACAGATGAAAACACACAAACATGATGACAGAAGACACCAATCTAACTGAAGAGCCACTTCTTAGTTTTATTACCAAAACTGCCTTTTGACAAACCCCAGACCAGAGCCCCTCCGATCCAAACCAGCTGAACATGTAAACTCTCATACTGTTTATATTGTTGTCAGAATTTAAAAGACAAGCCAACTGATTTTAGTAATGCACTAATGCGCCATTAATGGTGGCCTAAATTACAACCTAAATGGGGCTATACCAAACTTTGGACGTGGCACGTGGCTTTTGTTTTTGCTACCAACAAACAACAATGTGGCTTCGGATTTTGCTCAGTATCTACCTGAAAACATAGTGATGACCGTCAATCTCCTTCCCTTTCTTTGAGTCCTTCAGTATCCCACCATTCCCCACCACAGCACAGCGGATGCACTCTGATTTATTGGCGCGATCCTTCCAGTCGTCCAACATCAGCCAGTTAGCCGAGGAGTTGAGGACAGTAAGAGTTTCCACCAATGCTGTTGACACGGGAAAACAGAATTAATCTGGATCAGTGGGTAGGATTTAGTGGCATCTAGCAGTGAAGTTGCAGGTTGCAACCAACTGAATACCCCTCGCCTTTCAAGCGTGTAGGACGTCTTTTTAGTTGGTGAACCACTGATTTCTTTTGTGCCGATGTAACTGTGTCTGCCCACAGATTCAGTTAGTTGTGATTAGTTGTGGTGGCACAACGACAGGAAGCTACCATTATCTCAACACGATGAGCATCTTGATGTGATGCCAGAATACATTGCATCTTCTGTCTTCTGTTTTTTAAACAAAGAGTACACTATCAGCTTTAGACGATTGTTGGTGTCACATAACAATTCTAATATGAATGTACTTTAACCTTACTATAAAAGAAACACGTGTCAGCTTTTCACTCAGAGACTCAGTGATGTATTATATACTGGTTGGTGTTTATATCTTCATTCAGTGAAAATCTTTAACTTTAATTGAAGTGAACACAGTACTTAAAAAATGTCATTAAAATAATAAGAAGAAATATTCCACACTGGAAATAACCATTTAAAAAATGTAATATAAAAAAAACAAATAAAAAAGGACAGAAAGAAAGAAAAATACCTAATATATTAAATAGAAAAACAGAAAGCAAATGTTAAAAAACAATAAACCTCAACAGAAAAACATGGAAACAAAAAAATAATGCTCACTTGAGTATTCGACTCCGCCCCAGCCGTGTGCTCCTGGGTACTGCTTCAGACGCTGGTGCGCTTCACGGGTGACGTGTTGGGCCCACTGCAGGACTGGAATGTGTTTCAGAAACCTCCCACCAAATTCAGTTTTTGTCACCTGACCTCGGATACCGCCTGGGCAGTCCTGCAGGAAGCAGATAACACGGACGCGCTGTTATCAAGCCGCGTACAGAAAGTCTTATCTCCACTCTGGCAACAACATACAGTTACTATGCTGCATCATTAGTTACTGGATCTAGTTATTACACGGCTGAAACATGGTAACGACAAAAGGCCTCGAGACACATGTTCATTATAGAATCTAAAAGGGCACACAAGGAAGCACAGAGTACATGCAAACGCACGAATGGCACCGAGCCTATGAGCAACTTTATCTTGTTAATTGTGTTATCGGCCTCTGGTTCTCTGTGGAATCAATTATCGATTGTGTGTGCACTCTCTATTTATGCAACAGCTCAAAGCCTAAACTGCAGCTTAACTGAGTTGAGAGTCTTTTGTGATTCACCATACGGATGCATTACAGAACCCTGGGATCTCTCCCATGAGACGTTCAAAGACTTTGAGGCAGATCTGAGTAATGTTTTCATTTTCTTATCCTCCCTCTGTATTTCTCTCAGTGGACCATCTGACAGCTCAATAAAGAGACTGAGCGTTGATAGCACATTCAGGGAATCAGGGGTTTCAGAGCCAGGCTGTAGGAAAGTCCATTTTCTATGAAACATTTCCTGGGAAGATGGACACACCCAGTACAACTGTGGCAGGGCGGTGCCCTGGTCGGACAGCATTGTCCGCCCCTGCGAAGAGACGTTGTTTTACCACTGATATGATACACCAGATCACGTGACACAAGGTTCGCTTTCTCCACTATAGTTTGTGTCTTTCCCACTTATGACTTTCATTGCCATTAATTCAATAAAAGGATAGACTGGTCATATTTAATATTATCAACAAATCACATGAAAAGGCCAAAACCAACAACTGACCCTTCCTAAGTCCCGCCCCTTTTTGCTCTGTGCTCCAATAACATTTGAGTAAACCTCGATCAGGACCTCAGTAAACCTTTTCCTGTGCTTAGAGACGATCTGGTAGAGAAAACAATAAGACTGTGAAAGCACAATGCTTTGGGAGGGTTGTAGCTCCTTGAGGTTTTGTTTCTTTTTCACTTCCTTCTTTGTGTTTTTAGCTTTATTGCTGCTACGTTTCAACCAAAACTCCAGTATTGGATATAAAATGAGGTTTATCAAACTTACATTTACATTTTTTATTGATCAACTTCTCTCACGTACCCTCTGCAGCAGTAGCAAAAATGTTAATGCTAGTTCGTTACTGAAGACTATATGTTGATTTTATCTTTTAAATATCTGCAAAATATGTTTTTTTTTTAAACATAGATTAGCCTATAGATCAGCCTAGCACATAGCATATCCAAGCACAGGAAAGAAGAAAGTGGACTGAGGTTCCAAAGAGGCGGGACAAGTATCGGGTCAGAAAGTATTGAGAAACAGATTAAAATAGTTATTATTCAGAGGACAAGCTGAATTGAGCACAGATAGGACTCACTGTTTGTGGTGGGATGTCTTCACTCATGTAAGCGTCTCCAATGAAGGGAGGCTCTGTTGGCCTGGCTGCCTGTGTGGGCTGCTGAGGCCTCTGTGTGGGGCCTTTGGTACTGGTCCTGGTCCTGGTCCTGGTTTTATTCACCCCATTTGACACATCCAGGACATTGTTCTCTGCCGGTTTGTGCTCAGCGGCTGTGGGTGCTGGAGTCTTTACAGTTGGAGTCTGCGTGGCACGTGTGTCTTGATGCTGAATTATGGGCTCTGGGTCAAAGTTGGAGGTGGGGGGCGGACGGGTCCACTGGTCACTGTTAGACTTCCTGTCGAGAGGCTCCTCAGAGTGTCGTGAGCCGCTGTGGAAGACAGAGCGAGATTTTGGCGGTGAGCCCGGCAAGTCACTGCTGGAAATATATCAGCTAAACCCTTTCAATATGCTCTCATTTCTTAAAGGAATAGTCCAACATTTTGGGACATATTTGCTTTCTTGATGAGGGTCAGATGAGAAGATTTATACCCCCCTCAAGTTTACCAGCTGATTAGCTTAGCATAAAGACTGGAAACTGCTAGCCCGGCTCTGTCTGAAGATAGTCTGCATGCTAATTAACTATATTATTTAAATGTTTTATCTTGTTTATTCTGCACGAAAAGGAATATAATGTGTTTTAGGTTGTAGGTTATTTTATGATATCAGTTTCATAGTAAATAATTGACAGGCAGCACTGAGATACATTAATACCTATGAAATAAAATTTACATTTATGCTGCTAAGTCTGTCTATTTTGCATTTGCACTTGCTTGCATAAGGCATTAATATATGTGTTTTGTTTTCTGGGATAGGACGCTCTTAGAAAGCAGCAGTTTAAGAGCTTTCTGAAAAGGAAATACAGGTTTTGTAGACTCGGCTTGGAAGAAAACTGTAGACCGGCTGTGTCTGTGGCTACAAACCATAAGGAGTAAGTGAGAAAATGGGCTTTTTGTAATTTGGGTGAACCAAAGTTTATAACTTTGCACACACTAACATGTTAATTATATATGAGGAAATGGGAAGATTGGAAGTTTAAGGTGATTTATGACTCAGTTAACACTGCCTACAAAACGTATTACAGCTATGAAGAAGAGAGTGGAGTGAGCTATTAAAGGCTCAAAGGAACTGGAAATCAATTCTCTACTCTACCTGCTTCTTAGAAGTGTAAGTTAAGTGGACTTTGAGTTGAGTTTGTGTTGCCATGGAGACGCAGTTATCATTTAAATCCCGCCCACACAGTGCAGGTGAAGCAGATCCGACTGTTAAACGTTATAAAGACGACAAACTTTAACACAAATATATCATGTGGAGAGAAATTCCTGTTGTAAAGGAGATTAAAAGCTGCAGTCTCAGGTAACCGTGGCGATGGCTTCACCCCGATTGGCTCTGTCTTACGAGCCTGACACAGCAGATGCTGCACTCCCAGCAGAAAGTAAACCTCATAAAGACAGCTAACAAGACCCAAGTCAGCTGAAATAAAGTGTAGCTGGAACTCGTTAATGTCAAAGACCAAACTGCAGAGAGAGCGGCGGGTCAGTGAAAACAGCCTGATGGTTGGTTAATGTGTGTTGGTTAATGAGTACAACACTGAAATTAAACATTAACTGTTACTCTTCTTCCCCATTCCATTTTCTCTAATGTCTTCAATAAATAACAATATTTCCTCCTGTTGTTTCCATTTTTCCCCACTAAAAAGTTACAAAACAAAGATTTTGTATTATGATTTTGTAAAAGTTTGCATTTTGTGTTGTTTTGATCTTTGATTTGATGAGCTGATTTAATATTGACATATATTTTATATTGGACTACCTGGAGGAAGAGATATTGTATCTCAATGGGATCAAAATAGTAAAACAGTGAGCTGAATAATACTGGATTTTTTTCAGTATTCACACAGTGCTTTGACAATATTGTATCTCAGCAGGGTCATGGCAAAAAAATGATAATTAGAAAGTTTAAATTTTATTTTCTAAAAAAGGCAAAAGGCTCCAGAGTCCATTAAAGAACATGAGGTCTCCTGCATGGAAAAGCAGCGGTGGCAGGGAAGTAAAGGGGACATTCACGTGGTTATTTTTACCCGGGCATCCAGATTAAAGAACAGCTTTTAAAATGAAAGGGCTCCACATGCCCACATTTAGTGTCTGAACCAAAAACAGCCACATTTTCCTTTTCTCCCCCCCAACTTAATGCATCTTATCTGGACTTACTGGCTTTTAAACCTGGAGCGCTGCCCGTTGTAACAAAGCTTACGTTTCACATACGCGTGTAAGAGACCACCTCCAGTGAAATAACTCCAGGAGCTTTTTTTCATTAGTGCAGTCAGAGCGCTGTGTGGCTCCTTTGTTAAAACCACAATGATACAACTAGAGGGGGAATAAGTGCTGGTTGCAAAAAAACAAAAAACATTGGAACTTTTCATACCGCTCTTGATCTAAGAGTTTAACCCTTCAACTCCATCCCCATTTAACGCTGACTCCGACCTCAATACTGTCCCAGATTCAACTGCCTGCCACCATATGAATGCTATATACCAGTGGTTCCCAACCTGGGGGTCGGGACCCCTACTAGGGGTCGCCAAAGCTTAACAGGGGTTTGGAAGCCTTCTTGATTTTGAGGCGTGCTAAAAAGCTTAAAAAAAATATACACAGTAGGTGTACGTCAGCATTTAGCTCACTTTTCAGGGGCAAGAAAACAAGAAATAATCTGCTCAAAATTCATCTAAATAACTTGTTTTACACAAACTTCCTGCAGTGTACTAGTGTACCTACTGAGTTCACTGTTAAGGTTCATTGTACAGTTTTGAATATAATGTGAAATATCCATAAAATAAGTCACTAAAGGCGGGGTCATCAGTTAACTCGATGATAGAAAAAGGTTGAGAACCACGGCTATATACAGTGCTGCGGTAGTGAAACATGGCTTATTTTATCAGCCAGCTTCTTAAAGAGATGTAAAATCAAGATTGTGTTTATATTCCAGTCTGACTAACAGAGTAGGAAGTGTAATCCTTTTTTATAAGCAATCCCCAAATTAGGCAAGGAAAGGTTTAATGCCCTGTTCGTGTCACATGGGAATTACTGTAATCACCAGTTTCTGACTTGTAACTGCTGCTCACATTCAAGTCAAACTCTGGGAAACAACTGGGAATAACATGGCAGAGCCTGAATAGGAGAACAAACATGGACACCGCGCGTCATCCAAGGTCTGTTCATGGTAATTAAACCCAAACTTCAATGGACGCCAGGCTGTACTGTCAACACACAGCTTTGTCGAGTCGGAGAAAACCAGGACGCTGTGTTGGAAAGACAAACACTGTCGGACAGAGAGGGTCTACACTGAATGCAGTCTTTGGGCGCAGATGTGCTGATTTGTCTCTTGTGAGTCACTAAATTAAAGAGCCCTCCCACGTGTTCTTCTTCCTTGTGAAATTCAGGAACCTACATTACCCACAATGCAACCCAATCGCAGACAGCTTAGTCCTAGATTTCAGATGAACAAATAAACAGCTCGCACACTGCAGTGCTCTGATTTCCATTTATTTTTAAAGCATCAAGGTGACGCTGCACTTTTGAGCCTTTTTACCACTGACTGGGTTTGCGAGACGGTACCACGTTAACGTGAGACGGCGCCATGCATCGTCACTGCAGTCTGGTGAAGAGCAGTGGAGCATTGGAACATGGGAGCCCTGCAGTGAGCGAGTGTCTGTTTGACCAAGTTATTTGCTGACTTTCGGCTCGACACCTGCCTCTGTTTGCTTGGGAACCTAACTCTATTTGTACCAACGCATCAGTGTTCGTCACCAGCTTTTTCTTTACTTCCACAGACTGTAGAATTAAAAATGGAGGTAGTTTCCGTGACGTCACCCGCAGGTTTCTGAAGAACCGCTGTGAGGCTCAGGACGGTCGGCTCGGCTAATCCAAAAAAGGGCAAAGACTTGGAGCGAGCAACCAGCAACCTGTGACGGCACCCGCCTGTCACTCAATGCAGCCATGCCCTTACTTATGCATAACTGTAAAACTTTATATAATTTAAATAGGTGAGACCATAACTGTTTATTGTACCAGGCTGTAAACGGGTTTATTTCTGCTTTAAAGTTGGGTTGGTTGAAAAGTTGAACTTGACTCAAACTGGGGGTAAATCCTCATATTTAATGTTTGGTGTCAGATCATTTACAGTCAGTGAGTGCCTTTCTGAAGTCTCACACCTCAGCAGCCACAGTGTATGTTACTTGTTTTGCTCACTCAAGCCTGAACTGAAGCTTGTTTCACTTCCTGCTTTTTGTGTTTTGCCTTTAGTTGAATTTAGGTCGTGTGACCAACAAAAACACCTTATTGTACGTTCAGGATCACTACCCTGCTGCTTTTTTCAGTGTAGGTGTCAGTGTAGGTTTCCTTCCTTCGCTCACCTGCTCGCTCTCTGTGGAACGCCCTGGAAATATTTCAGCGGCAGGATGTAGATACACAGCAGGGAGGTGGCGGTCAACACACCGAGCAGCAGCCTCTTCTGGAGCGCCATCCCCGTCAAGGAGTGCGTGACCGGCAGGCTGCGTATGCTCGCTCTGCCCTCCGCTCCGCCTGAAGGAACATGAGGAGGCAGAGGATAGAGCCTGAGGAGGCAGGCGAGGATGCCGTCTCCTCCACTGGACAGTTTTCTGGGGGTTTCTTTGGTCAACCAGGCAAGGCAAGGCAGGGTGTTGGTGATGGTGGGGATTTAATTAGCCCAGAACAGGATCTGGGCTCCACTCTGGGCTTCTCTCAGCACAACTACAGTGGGAGGGAGATAGAAGGAGAGAGTTGGAACGAAGGCAAAGACTCGGGGGGGGCAGGATGGAAGGGGAAACTTTATCTTTCTGCATCAACAGAGTCCCAAATAATCCCTTTTTAATGAAACCTTTGAACACAAAGTGCAGGGCCACAATCTTCATATCCTTTTACACCCTGCTTTTATTTATTTTTTTGCTTTCATGATCTCCTTTTTGCTCTCGCTGCTTTTCTAACACACAAAAGAGGAACCACTGTAGCTACAGACAACGATATAAAAGGCAACATTTTGGCTGCTCCTCCCAAGCCGACCGCTGTAGAAAAAAACCCAAAGTCAGCTGCAGCTGATGGGCCATAAACAATGCAGGAAGCCAGAATCTTACAGGAAGCATCTTACTTTCCCCTTCCTGCTGTGGTGGTCTCAGACATGAGCATACACACTGAGCACCGTCCCCTCTTCACTTCTCACCTCTTTGTAAGTAGTGTAATAAACACAGCCCCGAGGCCAGGCGCTGAAATCTGCCCTCTTAACTTCTCTTAAGTCCTGAGCTGCTTTCCGAGGTCCACGCAGTCCTCCAGAGTAATCACTTAATAACTGGGTGAATATGGAAAATAATAACAGCGCTGGTGACAATGTGAGTGATACAGTTTCCCAGGCTTGTGTAGGTACTCCTGGCTGAGGCTAAATGGGGAATGGAAAGAATGTGTTTGCAGTGATCCAGTGATAAACTCAGCCCCCATGTCTCTGATAACAGACATAACAGGAGGGAATTAGCATTTTTACAGGCAAAGAAAACTGATTTTAGCTGAGATTTCTACTTCAAATAAATGTCATAGATGTGACTAAAACATCTCTAACATGGCTGACAAAGAGTCAGAACAAAATGTAAGAGGGGAAAACCACATCAGACTGTGACACAAATCGTGACTCAATCTTTTCCTCTTAGAGTCAGAGGGCTCTACTCTCTTGTGTCTGTTTGTGTTCCTCTCTAACGGAAACAGAGCTCAAGTCAAACGTGACACAGAAAGACCAAATAAAGAATAAAGTGTGTCCTCTCACCGGCAGAAAATCCTCTGTGTTCTGTGGTTCCAATCTTTCCTTCATGATGGCTGTAACGGAGACATATTCCTCTAAGTTGGGAGCGCTGCTGCTCATCTAGAGTGGAGTGGCTGCACTGCCAGCCTCTGCACTGTATGGGCGGGACCATTGTGAAATGAGCAACAGCTGCTGGCAATTGGTCAACCCCCTCAACTCCGGAGTATGAGAAGGGGTGGGGGAGAGAAAGAGAAAGAAGCCCACTCCAGGCTGCAATAAAGTTAGACATGAGCAGGCAGCTCTAAGGATCTCTGCTATGCTCACAATGTGTGGAGACTGAATCACAACACTCCTGACAGACAGGAGACAGGAGGGGACACACACACATGTATGACTGCATGTACGCACAGAGGTGACAAGCAGGAACATGCAAAGGGAAGAGACTTTACTCTCTGCCTCATCCAGAGTCACTCCATCCACCCAGCCCTCCAACAGCCAGCCAGTCAGCCGGGACCGTCCGAGCCAAGTGAGAGTCAATAGCCGGTGCGCCTCTGCGGGGCTCAGTTTCCTCTGTGAAAAAGAAAGGAAATACGCTGAAAGGCGAGACACGTTTCAGTACGCGCCACCGGTTGCTTTGGAAGTCCAGAGGAAGTGAGCTAGCTGGAGGGCGATGGAGGAAAAAAAAAGGGGGGGGG